CAAACGGACACACACACACACACACACATGAGCTGAACCTCACCCCTCGGCTTGCTGTGCTGCCCTATGCTGTGTTGTGCCTGGCTGTGTGGCTGTGTGTTGTGTGTGTGTGTGTGCCTGGTCGGCTGCTGTGTGATGCTGTGTGATGCTGTGTGTGCCCGGTGGGCTGCTGTTGCGACCCGCTCTCACTGTCCCAGATCGTTCAGCTCCTGGTACCAGCCATGTCGCGAGTATGCGAAGTCCTCGTAAGTCCTCTTGTGGGACTCCATGTCATCGTCCTTCTTCTTGTCGTGGTCCGACTCCGTGACATCGTCCTGGTTCTTGTCGTGGTCCGACTCCATGTCATCGTCCTTCTTCTTGTCGTAGTCCGACTCCGTGTCATCGTCCTTCTTCTCAGCCAGAAGCCCAGTGTCACCGTCGCCCGGAACCCTTGTAACCATCTCGACTGTCACCGCCATGGCCTTAAACTCAGATCCATCACGTGTGGCTCCAATCGCTCCCTCCAACATGGTCTGCACTGTGTCCTGCGGATCGATCGTCATGAAGCACTGAAGCTCATTGTCCCATACCAGGCCGACTTCGTATTTCCCATGCATCACAAGCGGATACTTGTACCTGTCATCGTCCTTCTTCTTGTCGTCGTCCTTCTTCTTGTCATCGCACACAGCAGCGGCCCTGTCATCGGCCTTGTTCTTGTCGTCATCCTTCTTCCGGGCAGCCGGCTTCTTCATGCCTTTCCGGGCAGCCGGCTTCTTCATGCCTTTCATCGCCTTCATGGGCTTCATGGCCGCCCTGTTCGCCTTCATGGCCTTCATCGCCTTCATGGCCTTCGCAGCCTTCATTGCTTTCATGGCCTTCATGGCCTTCATGCTCTTCATCGGCATGCCCAGAAAATTCAGAAAAAGGATGCCACCATGTGCAGCACGAGGCGACAGAATGCTATGCAATGATGTGGAATGGCCTTGCTGGATGTGAGTGCCCCTGCGATCAAGTGGGCCATGTGACCTACGGACCCCACATGTTCACAGTTTGGGCTTCATGCTGATCATCCGAATCAAAAGCAAGCTTTCACCTGTTCGAACCACAGCGATGCAATCACAGCCGTGACCGATACCACTCAAGGCTGCTATAGCAATGGATCCTGCTCAACACGACTCTCCAGCACAGCACTACTGTCGCCACCTAAACAGCCACCTCGAAGCCCAAGACCCCCAAACCCGAGACACCCCAACTCCGTAATCCAGCCCGCCTTCGACTCATCTCGCTCGTCCCTGCCGCCTGGGTCCTGGCACGGTGGTTAGGGGCTGAGGGTTTGTGGGGGGCCCGACAAGCAGAGTCCAAGTGCAACGCCACCCGCCTCCGATGGTTGGTCGGGATGATTTGCTGCATCAGCCTGCGAAAGGAGAAGGCAGGCAAACACGAACCCAACGCAGGCAACCCGATGACTCCACTGTCGGCAGCTTACAGACGAGGCCTCCGCATCATCACGAAGGCCTTGCTCTGCCGACTCCTGGCCACAAAAAAAAAGAAAGAAGGCAACCACGGCAAGGAAAGGAGTCCTGCACCTCTGGCTCCGCTCGGTCTGTCGACTCCTGGCACAAAAGGCCGAAATGCAAAGCCGTCGTGCGATCCCTACCCGTCCTCGCCCGCAGGCGCCGCAGACTTGTCCAGCCATGAATTCAGCTCCTGACCAGGCACGGATTCAATAAGGAGACTGCACCAACTCCCGAACGTCCTTCTCCATGTCAGCAGACCAAGTCGAAGGCAATTCCACAGCATCGCCACCCAAGGCCAGCTCAGCACGCTGCTTTTCGCGAGCTTCCAAGGCCTGCAATCCCGCACTCCACTCCGAACCGCCCCTCACCCAATTTGAGAAGGAAAATCCAGAAGCTTCCCACTGCTTGCCTTCCCGAAACCTCTCTTACAGCCGCGACCCCTCCATGTCCCGTCGACGAAGATGCTTTTGTGCACCGAGTCCCGGATGCACGCCGAAATCCACATCCCAGATCTGCTGCTCCAGTATGGCATCTCCGTCTTGCGGTGGTAGCAACACCGCATAGAACATCGCTTCCTCAGCTCATGACCGCACCGTCCCGTATGAAAGCAACCGCTCTAATCGCTTGAATCTGCATCAACGGAAAGCACCCAAACTACAGTAAGAGAAGCAAGCGAGTGTCGCATGCGGCGGATGGCATTCGGGAGAACTCCCGCACAAGCAAGGCTGCTCCTCATCCCACCCGAAGCTCGAACGCTCCTGCACGAATCGCGAAGGCACTAGCACTCAACCGAACCCGTGCTGACAATGTCCTTGTAATCTATGGTGATCTCCTGCCCGGACGGAATGTCTGTCAGGGCAATGACCTCAGCTCAACCACTCGCAAGGTATAGCCGTGCAGTTTAATGCCCACCCAAAATCTACAATCCGTTCAATCTGGCGAGTCGCTGCTACACGTGGAATCAAGACAGGCTCGGGAGCACAATCCAGTTTCGCAGAGCTCAGCCACTCCACCATTGCAGAATTCGGCTTGCACGAGTGATTCACGAAGCGGGCCTTCCCGCCGCAAGCGCCTAGCTGGGGCACTGTCTCGAGTGCAGCCCATCCCTTCTCACAGCATGCCAGCCACGGCTCAAACCCTTCCCCGGACCTGCATCAAGTACAAAGTGAGGTGCACACCGCAGCGGAATGGAATAGCATCCCAGATCGCCCTCAGCCGCAACCTTCACCAATTCACCGGTGAACTCTGTCACGAAGGAGCCTAGCACATCGCAGACATCCAATTCATCGGGAAACCTACACCAGCCCCCAAAGCATTCTGCAACCCTGATGGCATGTGCGACCCCCGCCTGCAGCAATAGCCCGCTGAGCAAAAAGACCGTAGCCCTTGCCCCCGGATCTCAAGATGGAAAGCGGCGCACTGCTGCAGGTTGCATCCAAAGAAATCAAAGAGCGAACCAGAGTGCAGAAACACTGCTTCCCGCAAAGGCATTGCTGATCACTACCAGAAATCGCCGACCCAAGGCATCCCAGCAGCTTCTCAGGAATCACACTCTGCCGCAGAAGAAACTTCCACTGCACCCGTGGCTCAAACGGCTCATGTTGTTCTGATTCAGAATCCGACATGGCCAGGGAAAATCGATGCAGGAGTCCGACGGGCGTGCCTACAGCCCTGTATTGCAAATGTCTTGACATGCTTTCGACGCAAGAATCCCACGGAATCCGATGTATTGTAGCCGAGCTTTTTTAAATTATTTTGTAATTACAACCGAGCAGGACCTAGCGAAAGTCTTCCATGATTTCTAATCACTGTAACCCACGCATCATGTTTCTCTACCGTCATGACTGCCTGCCTGCGGTACATCAGGAACACTGCACATGCAAGAGCCCAAGAGACCCTGAAATAAAATCCTGTGGGCCCAACCCTCCCAATGGTCCTATAAGATTACGAGAATTTTGGCTTCAATCCACCCTGAAGACACCAACCGTCACCGAAATAAAATCCTGCAGACAGCCACACAACACCCAACATAAAATCCTGAGGGAAAAATATGGCAGAATAAAATTTTGGGCTTGAGCCGCCCGATTTTATATTGTCGCATCCGTCCCCTATCGTAGTGGTCGTCCTGCTGAATCGGACAGTCGTTCTGAAGTTTTTAAAAGCTCTCATGTTCCGGACTTGGGCTGGGCCTTGACTGGCCAAGAGGTGCTCTAATTCAGCCCACCAGCTGTCTCCAACGCCACCCTCTCGCTCAACCCCCTCGTGGCCCGGGCTCTGTTGGGTTCTTTGGCCAACGACACATCTTGTCGAGAACGTACTCTTCCCCACCTAAAGCTCAATCAGCTTCACGCGCCTAGATTGTAAAAGCTCTTTACTACGAGCACATCATCATAAAGAAGCACGTGTGTCCTTGCTTTGCCATGGTGATTCCATACAGCGGATTCTGCACATGGTATGAAAGCCTCAAAGGAAGTCTTGAACGATCTATGCATTACTGATGCGAGTACTGTGTAAGTGCGGATAGCCACCGCATCTCAGTGTCTCGTGGTGTCTCTATGCACTTTGGCATGCAGAAGCTCCGGTTTTGTCGCAGCAAGCTCCTCGCTGGACCTGCCCGAAACGAAGATCTCGTCCGATGCGCCGGTTGCAACTACCGAGGCCTCACCCCAAACGTAGCTGGCGCTGGAAGCATTCACTGGAGTCGGACCACCGTGAAACACCCAAACCTGGTTGCCGGCATTGTCCACTTTGAGAATATATCCGGTGTTACAACAGTACTCCCGACTGCAGCAACCTCACTTGAGACTTGCAGACTCGCGTCTACTCAGGTCAATCCAGGCATGTGCAGGCCAGGTTGCCAGCTGGCCATTCTTGGCCTGCCCAGGGACCACCGTCGTTCTCACCAACCACGACTGCATTGTCCTCAGATGCCGATTGGGCAGCACGCAACCGCCGACTCTTGCAGCGACATTGACGGGTCTCCACAAGCCCAACAACTCAAGGCACCACTTAGCCGCCTAGCCCCTGCAACAGGAACATCCATAGTTTTCACACTTATCAGTAGGACCTCTGAACAGCCTAAGTGCCCCCAGACCGTAGGAGACTGAAGCGTCAGGATAGCCACGAGTGCAGGCGTATATGGCTGGTTAAACGACTTCACGGGAAGTGGGCTTCCTGCTTGAGGTAGCATCTCAACAATGCCGGCTACGATTTCAGTCGAGCTTTTGCAGCCGGTCTCATCAGAGTCTCATCACTGAAGCTGCACTTGCGCACCTCTAACTCTCACATTTGGCAACGCCTGGCAACCCAAGCTGACGCGGAAGGCTCTTCACAGCACAGAAAACTGAGTCCACCACCGACGAGTCCAGCACCATATTGTAGACGTTATCGTTTCCGGCTGATCCTCCAAGATGCAAGCCGCAAGCCACTGTCAAAGCATGTGGTGACCGTCTCATATCTTACGCAAACAGGAGCCACGAACTGACAATGACGATGCTCCTTCCCAACCTCTTCGGCACAATCCTGTCACGACCTCCTCATGACTTTAATTCAAGGAGCACCCTGAGGCTCCCTGCAGCCACACATTGCACCCTAGAACGACTGGCCATCATACCTATACCATCATACCTATACCTTACTCCGCCGGTCGGTATTTCGAGACCACACCAAAAAGTCGCGAGGAAGCGAACAGTATGGGCCTGCTAGGACATTAACGACTTCGAGCGATTTGAATGCAAACATGAGCACGGGACTGTGGCTGGCGCACCATGTCCACCCGAAACCACGCAAAAATACGCACGCCACTGTGGCGGGAGCGCGATGGATCAAGTTCGAGACTGACAAGCCCCTTGATTGCAATTAGAATGAATGCGCCGTCCCCGGAGCCACAGCAGGACTGTGACTGGAAAGAACGCGATGGCGAAAAATGCCAACTGCAGTTTGCAGGAGCCTCCCATGTCCGTCGCGTTTCAATCCTCGTAACGCACATCGCTTCTTGGAGCGGAAGGCAAGGGGGATGTCGAGAGGATGCATACAAGGATGTCCTGAAGGGACGTTGGACAAGGAGCTCGCAAGAGGATGCTGACAGAGAAGGTTGTCCGTGGGTCTCGCGAGAAACTTGTGAAGACTTCGCGTAATCCCTGCAGAAGAAGTCTTACAGGAGGTCGTAAAAGATGTCCCAAGAGGACGTCCTGACAGAAGTTGTGAGAGGGTCCTGAAGAAGTCAGGCAAGAAATCCTTCTGCGAACCAGGTCGTGGGAAGAGGTCGGCAATCGTGAGAAGACATCGCGAGACTTCGTGAGATCGGGCGTAAGAGGAGGGCACGAAGACGTGCCAAAGAAGTTGTGAGTGGTCCTGAGCTTGAGCGGGTCCCGGAGGAGGTCCCGAGATGAGGAGGTCTTGACAGGAAGTCCCAAAAGAAGCCGTCATAAGAGGTTTCCGGTTGAGCGCCCTGCTGACGGGAAAACGATAAAGCCCTTCAGCCTCTAAAACCTTCTAAGAATTGTAAAAGTGCGACCATGACCTACAAGTCAGGTTCGGTGAACAAGACTGGATGGCCCTCAAGTCTCGACACGGCTCACCACCATGTTCCCGCAAAGCAACTCACATAAGTCATCTTCGTCCACGTGTCACATGACACATGGTTACCTCCTGGTGAGAACGAACCCAAACGCCTGTCTGCAAGGTCCACTTGAGAATGCCATCAGTGCTGTACTTCTGGATGAAGATCTGTGCGTCAGAGCTCGCACGACTCGGGCAAGACAGCTGGCTGAAGCGCGGGCAAGCAACGTCCATCCCACCAACACTGCTGAAGCCGGCGAAGGCTCCACTTCTGTGCCCCGCAATAATCAGATCGCCGGAAGAGTCCACCGAGACACCTGGCAAATACATTACGAAAATGTATTCCGGCCTGTTGGAAATGAGCGCAGCTCACAGCTTTCTAAACCGTCGCTTCTACACAGAATGCCTCACAAGCTCCCTGGCACCAATAGTGCACAGGCTCGTACAGAAACTTTGTCTCTTTGGTTCTCAAGGTGGCAGCCCTTGCCCGATTTAAGATGGATATTCAGCGATACTTTGGCACCATCAATGCCACGGCCCCCCAACCCCTAAACCACGAAGCCTCTACCGTTCCCGCCGCCGTTGAGTCCATCGACGGAGATCATCCATTGCCGAACTCCCTGGCTGTTGTATTTCACCTCGGCTGTTGCCAGGACAGCGAGCAAGGAATTTGCTGCACTGCATATCACGGGCCACAAGCAACCCGGTACATGAAGCTCGAGCAGGCAGTCGAACAAGAAAGGTGAACATCGGGCCCTGTTGTGGTTGCTGTTCTGACTACTTGAGGTGGAGAGTTGAGATCCTGCACTGAACGAAATACCAACTGCAAGGACCCGCAGCTGAGCACTCCACCAAGAAGGCATCCTGTGCTCCGCTGAGGCCACCCCCCCAACCGTATTCGCCGACTGTGTAAACGTTGTCACTCCTCGGGCGGGTGATGGACTTTCTCCTGTCACGTCTTGATTCTAGGAGCTTGCGAGATGGCGTGGCTCCCAACTCTTGCAACAGGCAGACCCAGAGAAGCCAGGCTGAACATGAAGCTTCAAGGCCCAAGCTCAAACCCAGTAACCCCAGACTCGCCAAACCCACAAGCCGAACCAGCCGGGAATAGCGAGGATTCGAATCCAGGGCCACGCCCCTGCATCTGTCGTGCAATCCACCTGGGCACTGCACACAAGCTTCACTGTCGAGCATCACTTCAGCTTCAGTTTCCTGCAAGTCCAAGAGTAGCGATCTAACGACATCCAACACAAGCGAAACACGTGCTTTTGCTGTTAGACTGCTATGCCGCCGCAGCACTAGTTACGCGCAGGCAAGTGCGACCGCTTCTGTGACCTAGGCCTACACCGTTGGAGTCCGTGGGGCCTCCGAACTGCTCATGTGCCAGGTACGTTCCAGAGCTGTCCAGAGCGACGAAGAGATAGTCCTTGGGGCCGGACGCCAAAAGCACCACAACTCTGTCCAAAGACTAACAGTCGATATCACCACTGAACACATGAATATATGACTTTGGGAAATGTACCGCAGGCAGCATCTTCGAACAGTCCTAAGATTCATTCCGAACCAGTTATGCTGCAGGATCGCCAGGGGACAGTATACCCGGCATGTGTGGAGTTGGGCCAGCCGGCTTCGTTTGGTTCCCCCCAATTATGTCCGCAGAGATAGAAATACCCGTTGGAACCAACCTGCCACAGTGTAAACATGAACACAGCACAAAACTACTCGAAGATACGACAGCAAGCTGCCAAACCGGCGACTGGGAAAGAGGTCCGGCACCCCGCACGATCCTAGCAGTCAGGCATCGCATGGAGGGCATGCCATGCCAACTGGTTTATGGTTGTGGGTCCAGGCTTTAGGACAAATCCGAAACGATGGAGAACGAGGAAATAGGTGAGCTCAACGCGACTGGTGGTCGGCAGAAGCTTGGGATGTCCCAGCCAACTTTCGTGGAACCATGGCCCCGTAGCCTTAGTCCAAACCACGTAGAACGTGTGCACCCCGAGCCTTTATGGAATGCAGATGGTCGTGCAGTGGCGACCCAACCCGGTAGAATCTGCTGTCAGCC